TTATCATTTATGTAGTAAATACATTTTTTTTCTCATAAATTATTGAAAGCACAGTTAATTTCTTAGAATTCTTTGTATTCCCATGAACTCTTCATCTGCTATCTGCAAACTTATCTTTTCCCATCTCCCATGTAAATGGCTCTGTTAGAATCCAATAAAATAGCTTCATATGCACGTAATAACCCATCCTCCTCCTCACCTATATATACCCTTCAGCATTTGATTATTTCATCAAGCAACAATCAAATGAAGAATAAAGCATTTATTCAATAAATACATACATAATGTTGAGGAAACGCGTGCTTATTAGTTTCTTTTTAGCAGTGCTTTTGGTTCTGTGTCAAGAGTGCTGTAGCGAGGCAAGAACCTATCCGGGGCTAGGTTTTGTTCGGACAAGAGGAACTCACTTTGTTTTGAACGGGAGGCCATTGTATTTCAATGGTTTCAATGCTTACTGGTTGATGTACCAGGCTGCCGATCCTTCTACCAGGAACATGGTGCCAACTACTTTCGAGCAGGCTTCTAAGTATGGGATGAACGTGGCAAGAACTTGGGCTTTCAGCGATGCTGGTTATAGACCCTTGCAGGTGTTTCCCGGTGTCTATAATGAGGAAATGTTTAAGGTACGCAGTTCATGCAATCTACGTTATTTAGGTTTTATGTTACAAGTAGAACTCAGTTATTAGGAAATAGTCATTTCAATCTATTTCTCTGGAATATTTTACTTTTACTCCAGGGTGTAAATTCCGATGTACCTATAGCATACCCTTATTCTTTTCTACATATTAGTTCGGCATGTAGTCCAGTCTTGGATCCGTTCCTGTGGACATTGAAAGTAGCTGGTAAAGCGAAGGTGGTTTAACTATCAACTCACACGGTAGACTTGGAGGAGCTACGTGAAATTCAGAAGTGGTCGTTTCCCAATTAACTAATTTTGAGTCTTGTGACTCACTTTCAGGGACTGGATTTTGTGTTGTCCGAGGCCAAGAAACATGGAGTTCATTTGATACTAACCTTTGTGAACAACTGGGAAGGTTTTGGAGGGAAAAGACAGTACGTTCAATGGGCAAGAGACCAGGGGCAGTACGTGAACAACGAAGATGACTTTTTCAGAAATTCTGTTATTAAAGGCTACTACAAAAACCATATCAGGGTCCAAATCATAACTTATAATTTTCTTAAAATCACTTTTTAGTGTCTTTCTGTTTTCTTAATATCATTCCAATCTGCAGGCCGTGCTCACAAGAGTCAATTCCATAACTGGGGTAGCATATAAAGATGATCCTACCATATTCGCATGGGAGCTAATGAATGAACCCCGCTGTCAATCTGACCTCTCTGGAAAACCTCTCCAGGTGAACTTTCTCATTTTGGCAAGCATGATTTTCAAAGTTACCTTCGGGTAATAAAATTGAATATACTACAGGATTGGATTGAGGAAATGTCGGCTTATGTCAAATCCATTGATAAGAATCATCTTTTAGAAGTTGGGCTCGAAGGATTTTATGGAGAATCAATCTCTGATAGGAAACAATTCAATCCTGGTTACCAAGTTGGCACTGACTTCATTTCTAATAATCGTATTGCCAATGTCGATTTTGCTACAATCCATCTATACCCTGACCAATGGTAATAGAGTAACACTGTCCAGTCTTATTCAATAGTACTATATACACATGGCTAAATTCACTTGAATGACAGGGTATCCGGTTCAAACGAACAGGCTCAAGCTGAATTCGTGGAGAAATGGATCAAATCGCATATAGAAGACTCGAAATCAGTACTCGGGAAACCAATCATGTTGACTGAGTTTGGGAAGTCTTCAAGATCAGGGGGCTACAGTGTTGCTGCTCGCAACGCGTATTTTGGGAAAATATTCGACGAAATCTACAGTTGTGCAAGAAGCGGAGGTCCATGCGGGGGTGCCCTGTTTTGGCAAGTAATGGCTCAGGGAATGGAGAACTGGAGTGATGGTTATGAAGTCTTCCTGGAGAAATGCCCTTCGACTGCTGGAGTCATTGATCGACAATCTCGACGCATCTCTTCTCTTAATAATTAGTTCATCTCAACTTGATAATATTGATCCTTTATTGTTTGCCCAATAAGTAAAAGGTCACTGTTGTGTACCATGAAATTGTTATGAAAATAATATGTACCCTACAATTCACAAGAAGAAATATCCCTAAGCATTTCAATTTGTCTAATATGATGTCTATACATTAATGTGGCAAATCTGTACTTATCAATTCAACCAACCTATCAATAGCTCGTCCCTATATGAGCTATACGTGTATCAATTAACCCTTTTGCCCTATAAAAAAAAAAAAAAAAAAAAGAAGGAAAAGAAAAGAAAAAAGCACTAGTTATACTCATAAAGACAATAGTTTCTCATCAATTCTCGTGAGAATTTTTTAATAATGAGAAAAATGCCTATTAGGCGAATTCGCTCATGGAATTAAAATTTTTGTATTGGTCAAATAGTGCATCGACGGTTCGGTCTTCATTGAGATGATCAAGATTAAGGTGATGCATTTTAAAAATCTGGACAGTGTTTACAAGTGAAAATAAATGTCAGAATTGGGTAGATAATTCAAAACAGCACTAACAAAGAAGTAAATATATTCAAAATTGTAATATACTTGTGTAAATTTTGAAGACGAATTGGTCAAGTTGCCTAATGATATAAACTAATTATAAAAGAGTCCACCGTGAGTATGCGTGATATAAAATGTGAAGCGTTCCTCGGGTCATAGCTTAGTGGTACAAATGACAAGAGTGAGGTAGTCTCCACCTTACTGATAGTTGCAGTGTGAAAGTTCGATTTCTGAGATATGAAATTGGACACTTTGTCGGCACTAGTATACAGGCAAACTCTTATTCTCTGATCTGATGGGGCACATCTCGCGATCTACCTCCCTCACAATGCTGAAAAGACAAGGTGGTGGAAGCTATCAAGGTTGGGGGCCAACCTTTTTGATATAAAATGTGAAGCTCTGAGAAACAGTGCACGACAAGAAAATAAGATTTTCGTTAATTTATCCCACATATCTGTACATACTCCATCAATTTAATTTAATGTATTAATTTACAATTTTACTTTGTCAGAATAACCATTGAACCTTTCCACTTCGGTTTAATTTTGTTGTTACTTTATTTCTAGTTGAAGCCCTTAATTTAGTTAACTTAATCAATCCTCTATCCACATACACAATAACGATCCCATTTTCAAATAAACGAGCTTTATTCTAAGGATATGGGATTTTGGATTTAGTTAATCCTTACGACCCTTTGTTCAGAGTTAATGCAGTGGTGAAAAAACTTGAAATAGTAAATCATATTGAGGATGTTGGACACTCGCGTGTCTGCGGTATATTTGTAATCTATAATCAAAATGTATCACCATAATCTTGATAATCACCAATCGAAACTGTTAATACTGTATTTTATCAACATAAAGATTTTAATTCCTCGAGCACACCTAATAGGCATTTTTCCTTGTCTTCCCCAATGGAAGTCGAACTTATATTATTAAAAAATTCTCAGGAGAATTGATAAAGAACTATTGTCTTTATGAGTACTAGTGCTTTTTTTTTTTT